GATTTTTGCGTGGGGGAATAATTTTTTTTGCAAAATGCGTTTCCTCCTCCAGGAAAAACTCTTTTATAGAGCTGATTGGATTTCACGACTCCCCCTAAGATAGTTGATTCAGAATTAGCATAGAAACACACATAGGTACAAACCAATTCCAAGATTTAGTAACCTTCGAGCCCACCCCTTCATCCGCATTCCCTTCTGCTTCTAACGCCGAGTATTGGACGTAATCGACACACGAGTTCTAAGTAGATATTAGAAGGGACTTTTATTCGGATATTCAATTTGAGCAATCGAATTTCTTGCGCCATCTCCATTGCAAACTTTTTCGGCGCGTCAAGTTGAGAACCGGTTGTGCAATTGCCCAAGCAACATAAGTGGAGCGTGCAAATGCTTTTGGCAATACTTCAGTAGTTTTTTCTAACATAAGTTTTGCTTTCCTTCCTTGTTGTTGTTGGTTTATTACAACACACATCATTCGTATACGGAAGCTTAACTCTAAGGTCATGAAGTCAGCTGTCAATGTGCTGCTGCTTCTTCTTATTAGTTTTTTGCTTTTTAACACTTAATATTTACAGAGTTTTTCCTTTTCGGGTCATCAACTTCTAAATATAAATTTTCAATCATGGTCAGTTCCATATCCTTTCATGGGGAGAATCGAAACTAGATTTCGTATATAGGTTCATGAGCTCTTCTTCGAAATCGTTCGAGAAAAGCAGCATGTGTTTTGCGATGCTAAAGACACAGCTCCAGTCTTGGAACTGAAGAGGATTGTAGAAGGTGTGCTGAAGGTAAGCGCTGGAGAATAAGCGCTTTTTTCATTATGCTTGCGGGTAACAACGTCGACGTCCGCACATTTTCATACTCGCTGAGTTTAGATCCCTGTCACTGATCAAGTGCTTGTGCGCCTTTTAGACGACAGCAACACCAACTTTCTTCCCCTCGATGACAAGAAAACACTTGCAGAAAGTGGTTTCACAGTCAACAATGCAAAGGTATGAACATAATTGCCTAGTATTAATATTCTTGTAGAGCTGTTTTCATCTTTCTTTGAGACCTACAGTATCACCTTATTTGATTTAATGGTTTAGTTTCTTTTAACGTGTTCTGCTTCTGTTAGAAGCGTTTTCCATAGGGGCGGTATCTACCTATCTCTGAGGACGTGCTTTATCGTTACAAACGAGTGCCCGATCGGGTATGAACGATGTTTTCAACGGAGACAGAGAACGATTAGACATTGGGAGATTGAATACCGCTCCAGGATTGCCATGTAATTTCTCGATTTCTGGTCGGGCACTGTTTTATCGTCATAAACGAGCACCCGATCGGGCAGTAGGTGCTTGCTCATAGCGATGAAGCCGTTCTTGTAGAGATTGGGAAGTTGGTAAATACCTCTCGAAAACGATAATTATGTGACACCATTTATATTCTTTCCGTACCATGCATCTGTTTTTAGGCCCAAACTCCCGCCATGGTAGCGTTGATGTTCCGGGGTGAATCTGCCCCAGTCATTGACGAATTGTCGACGCCACCGCCAGTACCCGATGCTATGCGAAACGAGGCACATTCTCAGGAGTAACACATCTCAGTAAGCGTGTAAACAATGTGCTTTGTAGCTTTTATGTCTTCTTATTGTGATCACATTTTTCGCAGCTCTGTGTTCGTAGTGGCGCTGCTTTTGTAAAGATGGATGTATAAAAATCGATAGTTTTTGTAACTTTTTTGTCTACTGTAAATGCTTTCACACCCATTTCTTGATTTCCTATGTAAGTGATAAAGTTTTAGAATTTGTAGCGTGATTCGAAGTTTGTGTGTTGCATCACGGTACTGGGTTTACGTTCTTTCGAGGTGCTCGAATTTTTCAAAATTTATTATCGAAAATTTATGAAATTTTATTTTTTTCTTGATCTGTTTCTAGCATGAAAGCGAAGAAGCGGAAGCTAGACTTGTCTAGTCCTTCCGATGAACCCGAGACGCTTTCGAAATCATTTTCAAAAGCTGATCTCGAAGCTCCGAGTGCATTTACAAAACGTTTTGACTTCGCGTTGGACAATGATCAATGCGATAA